TGTACATAAAGTGTAAAAGTGCATATGTTTTTTCTTTGGTCATAGTCAGCTTTATTCTTAGCTGGTTGATCTGTGTTAAATGGTATTTTTTATCTTTGTGCATTTTCGTTTCAGTCATTGTTAGTCTCTTGTATGTATTATAAAAGTATTCTCATGGTCCTGAGCAAGTATCATCACATTTAATTATGTACAGATCTAATAGTATGTTAGATTTGTTGTACAAGTAAAGATATTAATATTCTTAAGGTTTTGTTTAAATGTCATCACATCTTAATGTGATTCAGGCCTAATGCTCCATAGTTTTTCAATTAAATTCTAATTTGGATTTAAAGTTAAAAGTAAGGTTTGACTGAGAGTGGAGCTAAAGTTGATGCTGAAATATATAAATATTAAGAATTTAACCCTTTCTTAATGTAGAAAATGAATATATCTTTTTTTTTTAAGGTAACTTTTCCAAATTTTAATGTAGTTACCTTTGCTTAGTTACATATCTTTGGTAATAGCATATATCCTGCTCAGGGCTCATGCTTCATAATTATTATTTTTAGGGAGCCAGCTGGGCCCCCAAACATTGCATTTTTAGGGGCTTGCAAACAGTCTTAGGGGCCAATCCTATAGCTCATTCTAGAATGTAATCTGTAGTGAAGGTTATCAGAAATATCACTAAATTAAATAGTGGATATCATATAAATTGAAAGGAAACTAAAGATATCAGCATATCTCAATTTATCTTGTTGTGAACTGTACTAAAAATATTTTTATTTCATATATGATCTTTAATTTCTCTATAAAGCATGGTATAACGGTAACTTTTTGTTCCCATTTTAAGTACTGTCCTTTAATAATCAAAATAAATAATGAAAGAAAATCTCTGCGTCACTGCCAATGTAATCTATTCTTGTTTCCATATAACCCAATACCATCTAGCTGACATGTATTTGTCAAAAAAATGTTACACATTTGATGGAGAGAGCAAAAAATGATTGTTTACATTACTACTAACTTTATAGCAATCAGTTCTTTCATATCTATAAACAGCTGTTAGTCATTCATGAATTTGAATTTTTAATAAGCAAAATACTCAAATTAGCAACATATATGAAACATATAAATAGCTCTAAAATGTCTTAGGTGGTGATGAGTTAAACTTAAGTTAGTGTTGTTTCCTAATCAAAATTAATCATGAAAAGATATCTAGCATGCATCAGTATCAGTTTCTGATGATGTCCCAACATCCATTTCTTATATCTTTCGTTCTTCCCATTCTTCGTCACTCTTCTGCACCTGCTTCTCGATCTAGGTCCCTACCAGCATTTGGTCTCCTCATTCGAAGTGATCCTGAGTTTCAAAGATGGATAGCTGTTATGGGATCAAAGTTACTTATTGAATGAGAGTAGAGTATGCCCAGAAGCTGATCAATGATCCTGCCAGCTCCCAGACAATATCTCAGATTGGTCTTGATCATCTTCATTGTGCTGAATTTTCTCTCTGCATCAGCAGAGTTGGCTGGTACAGACAGTAGTAGGTCAAAGAGGCCACAGATATTAGGTAGCACCTCCTTAACCCAAGGGATGGTAGCAGCCCATGGCTGGCCTTTCTTGCTATGCCTGGTGAAATTATGCAACGAAATAGATGTGGAAAATGTATCAGAGAAACCATCATGAGAATTTCATTATTATTCCTGTTTTTAGGTCATTATTTTGTGTTCATTTAAAGTTATTATTTTATAGTATATAGTGTTTTGCTGCTAATCAGTTAGGCAATTGAAATCAGGCCAATTATTGCATAATCAGGTGAGAATCAGTAGAATTTGTTAAATTTCCTGATCACAGAAAACCTATTACCAAGAAATTTTAAATAACGCCACATAGATAACTTTTTTCACAACAATAATCTTTTGATTTGTAAGTATCCTTACATTCATGACTCTGTACTTTTTCTTTAGACACAAAATATTATTCACTATAGAATAAAATATCATCAGCTAAAACAATCTCTGTTTCTCAATTTTTTACATAAGTTGATACACTAAATGAAATACAGGTTAATACACAATGTTCCACACATTGTGAAGCACACCCAATTCTTTACAGACTGTACATTAGCAAATAGTCGATAACAGCACTCTATGCACAGAGCTAAAACACTGTGTGCTTGCTGGAGATCTACGCAGACTTTTCCCACGAAATTCTTGGGTGTGATATGCCATGTGGCTCCTCATTACCATATTTTCATGCAAGTAACCCAATGGTTATATGTTAAATTAGTTTTCAAAAATGTCATCTGCTGGGTATACTTGTGTGCAGGTAATACAGTATTTTTTGTTGTTGTTATTTTTAAGAATGAAGTGATTCATCAATTTGTCAATAAGTATGTATGTTAGTAATCCTAGTTCTTCTCTGGTCAAAGGACAAAGTATGAATATGAATACTTTTGATTGTATTTATCAGTATTTGAATAGATTACAATTGTGACTTAATTAATTGCTCACATATTCTCTCATAACCTTTAACTAGTGATTGGCTTCACCGCATGACATAACCACAAGGGATTTCTGTTTATTGAAGGTTTTATTGTGTTATTGTAATGTAAATGGATTGCTTAATTTTTCTTGTCTTCCAAAATTTGTCTGTGTCACTGGTTTGTGGGGTATACATGAGTGTGGGTAATATGTGCCTAAAAGTTTCTTAGAGCACTCTTTTCCTCAAGAGTGGGGTATATGAGGGAATGGGTTATTTACATGAAAATATGGTAGTACCGCACTGTGTATTAGCTCATTGTTTGGGGAGGTCACCAAAGAGTGCATGACAACAGAGTGATTGGAAATTTAGAATGTCCCATTACTTTCCACTGGGTTTTTTGTCAATTGTTTGAATTGTGCATGTCACTATAAGTTGAAAGTGGTAAACTGGTATATACAAATATCTAAAAAATAACTAACCTATTGGACAGCTATGGAGCATTCCATATCATCATTTGAAAGTTCCATTATTTATGAAAATGTGTAATTTCAAGAAGTTACCTTAAAGTTAGTTGTGGCTCAAGAAACGTGATTGCTGATTGGTTGAATTGCTTTTGAATGTAAAAAACTAGATGTTTCAGGTTTTTTGAGTAGAAAGAAAATGGTTAAAAAACAAGAATCACAAAGGTAGGCAATTGTAACTGACTGCCCTTTGCACCTGTAACTAATAGGGGAACATGTACATCTTTATCAACAGTAAAAGCTAACATTTCATGCTTTTAGACAAATGTCAAAGGTGACACAGTGTAAGTGCTGAGATTTGAAATGCGTTCGATGAAAACATGTGTATCGAGCTGGGAGGTGATAAATTTTAAATAATTCAACCAGCATGATGTGGGTCTTCTTTATCATAATGCATTTAAAGTTATCATTTCTTTTTCTTTTTTCAGTTTCAAAGTTGATCATTATTTACACAATAAAGAGACATCTCTTTACGAACTTTCAAACACTGTCACTTTATTTGACCTTTGGTTGGAATACTTCGTTTGGTTTAGAAAGTGGTTTAGTTCAAAATGTCTTATGGCTGAAGTGACTGATGAATTTAGGCAATGAACATCAACAATTTCTTTGTCTCTGACAACGGTCACATAACCTTATGTATCAATCATGTACTAGCCACGTGGTCAGTCCCCATTTCCATTTTACACTCATTCAAATAAAAAACGGAAAAGATATTGTGATTTTTGTTTTTTTTTCATGGCACATTTATTGATGACTTCAACCATTTCAAATTTAATGAAACTTCAAAGTACATTCTCTGTAGTCATTACAGTTTTTAAAGTTAAACTGCTAATAATACTGCACAATGAAATCATCAACTTTACTGTACATAATTGGAATCAGGTCAGTTGTGTGCTATAATAATCAGTAATCGGTGATTTCCTATTGTGACATGATCAGTAAAACAGTAACATTATGTTTTTTATTTTTGGCTAGTGCAGTCTTAAATGTTGGATTTAAAACTCTTTGCCCTAACATACATACATTTACAATGTACATGCAGTAAAGTAGATTCTCCAAACAAGGATTACTTGAGACAACTGTCACAAAATGAAACAGACAAATTTGGGATTTATGCCTATCTTGAAATTTTAAAGGAGTCAAAGGACAAAATATTTTGCAGGATTAGGGGTTTTGGCCTGCCATTTCTCAATATTTCAAAAAATATTGATTAAACTTTGCATGAAGATACATTACAACAGCCCTCATAAGCTGAAGCAGAAAGATATGAGATTTGTATCTTTCTTGCAATTTTACAGAGGTTAAGGTTAGAAAAATTTGCAATGTATGTAATGAGGGATCTGATACTAAAGACATTGTTTACATATGTAAATATTACAAGGAGTTGTATGTCTTATTTGTCCACAATTTACCTGTAAAGTTTTTGTCATTTTGAGTAATGCTATGTACATAGAGAAAGTGACTGTTCTGTGTATTATAAGGTCACAACTGAATACACTTTAATACATCTTTTTTTCACAAATAAGTCACAAGTTAATATTCGTCTGAAGTATACGTGTTTTAGTTTATACCACATTCCCTTGCCTTGAATTCCATTTTCTATTGAAATCTAATCTATTCTGAGCATCTTATCAAATAAGGTGGGTTTTGAGCTCAAGAGTTATTGCATTAATTTGTGAATGTTGACCTATCTTTCTGTGTTTATGCATATGATCACTATTATAATAGTAGAGCTACTTTACTAAGTTGATCATAAAGCTAGAAATTTAAGAATGTGCTGTTAATAAACATGCCTATGATCAGAATCTTTCTGACAACTAGAAATAATGAATTTGCATCTTCTCTGCTTCCTTACATCTACTTTTTCCTATACGTTGAACTGTTTAACTCCTCATATAATTGTTTATGTGAATTTGTCTACTTCTTTGTGATTATGATTTAAACATATTCTAATTTTTAAAAGGTGTTTTACATAATTGTGTTTTTTCTACATTAGCAAAATATTTTTTATTTTCAGAAATGGAATGCTAAACAGTAGTGTTCCTTTAGATATGACATCTTATCTTCAAAGGGAGAAAAGTTATGTACCTTGGGGAACAGCTTTACTACACTTTAATGACTTAGACTTTCTTCTGTATGAAACTTCTGTGTATTCTCTCTTTCAGGTAAATTGATGTAACAAAAATTACTGTTATGTGTAATTAGTCAATGAGTTTGTTGTGCAGTTATATTAAGCACTTTCCAAAACATACTTACCCTCCACTGACACTTTAACTATTCCTCGATGTTTGCTTTGCCTATATAAGCATTGGTTTCACATGCTCTAGTCTTTTATACCCTACATAAGTGCCCTTAGCAATATGTAATTTGCAAATCCCTCTGCCTGTGTCAATGTGCCCTTCATCCTGACACTGTATATAAGCACCTCACTCTTATAATATAGTCACTTTTTCTTGACAAAGCATTGATCATGGTTTTGTCTGACTAAGTGTTGTGGTTCATTCTGTTACTATGGTTTGAGATTTTCCATATACTTATAATTTCTTTTACATGATGTTTGAGAGTATGAATTCCTGTATTACTGTTGTCAGCTCAGTGGTTAACTTACCTCCCCTATTTCTCCTTTGTTATCTAGCGTCTTTTTATTGGGGGGGGGTTAACTCTTAGTTGCAACTGTATATTGGACTTGGTTTTTTTTATGCTTTTCTTTATTAAGTTGGTTTTTCACTATTCCAATTTGGATGAAGCACCTCATAATCCTATTCTTCAATTAATCATTTGGGTTATGATATTATGGAACTTTTCTCTGTGCCCTTTAAGTCTACTCTTCTGTTGGTGGTGGAATGGTCGGGAGGAGGGACTACTTAGTTTTTCCTTCTTCACCTGATATTCCTGGTTCATCCTGAGATATTTACTTGTTTATTATGTAACAGGATATATATACCTTGCACCCTTGTTTGTCTGTTTGCATGCTTTGGCTTTCCACTTCCAGGGAGACATTTTTCCAATTCAACAGAGTAAAATTACTTAATTTTGGATATGTGGGATTCCAGGTTGGTTCATGTGATCACTTTGAACCAATCACTTTTTTTTGTATTTGTTTGCTTCTCATTCTTGCTCTGTGATATTTCTTGGCCCCCATATTAAAATTAGTGGGCGAATGGGGTCTCCTACTGACTTCTACCTTTGTCAGATTGCCTGCTTCTGTTCCTTCTGTAGAGATAACTTGGTGAAGGGACTTTGTCTACCTGCTGTAGTCTCTAGGTTTCACATGTAGCTTCTTTTTATGGTCACTTCATGTTCAAGGGTCTCCCAGAGACGTTTGTATTGCAAATTGCTGTCAACTGTTTGCTTTTTTGTTGTTGTTGTTGACCTCTTGACCTTCTTTGGCTCAAGCTGCTGAATAGCCTCAGATCTTAGTTTCAGGACCACTTCATTTGAGCTGTCCAATGCCATTGGTGTTGGTATCAACTTAGTGTGTGTGGTGGGGGGGGGGTTAGTTAGAGTGAGGTTACAACTGGGATTTCATTCCTGTTTATTTGTTGTGCCTGAGACAAGGGGAGATTCATGGACAATCATCATTTTTTCTTACCTCACCCCATTCTTTGTTTTCTACCTTGTCCACAATGGAGTCCTTTCTCACCCTACTTTGGCATTCTTCACCAGGTCTGGGGATGCTTACATTTGTGGTTTCTGAGGCATTTCTACACATTCTCATAGTGAATTCATCTTGCCTTTAGCTATGTTTTGTATACAGAAATCAGGTTCTGCAGTTCAGGGATCTAGCCTTTGGTTTAGCATCAGCACCATATAGCTTTTGCTGGGTTGTAAAAGTTTTCACCATGTTTTATGCCTAGCTCATCCACCTCCAGGCTATGGAATTGGTAATCAGGCTCTTACTTACAGGGATCGTTCTATCTCTGGAGTTGTGGGCTTCCCTCAAATCTCTGAATTTTTTGGGATGAGGACACATGCTATCCCTTCAGTGGTCCCATTGCAACTAATGGATCTGGAACTTCAATCCACTGGATTTTGCAGTCTCTTTCATCAGGAGCAACATCTTAGTTTTTGAGTGGTGGTTGGTTTGGATCACCTCTATCATTAGCATGTACATGTACATATGTATGTGTGAGTGTATGTATGTGGGTGTGGGTGTATATATCAATGTATACTGCCTCTCTGTCCATAGTTTCTCTTTGCAGATACTTCACTTTGGGGATCCAGTGTGTATTTGTAAGGTCAAGAACTTCAGGGTATATGAATGGAGGACAAATCTTCATTCTGCATCAATTATTTGGAACTTCTTGCAGTCCAACAGGCAATAGTGCAAGGTCTAAATCTTTTGCAGGGGAATATCCTCATGAGATGTTTCATCAATTCCAGTGTTCTGTTAAATTTGGTTCTTTCTCTATGGGGCATATTCCAATCATGTCAGCCTCCTGGCTTGCCATTTTCCTGGGGTGATGGATTTCATAGCAGATTGTCAGTCTCAGTCTTAACTTTGTGCGGTTTTCTGATAGATTTGTTCTCACTTTGAGCCTCCATTGATGCTTTTGCCACTCATTGATACTTGACCACAAGCTCTGGAGTCTCCACTACCTCATCCTTAGGCTTGGGTGGTAGATGCAATCAATCCTGCTTGGATGGGATTGCACATCTGCGACTTTCCCTCACTTTCTCTGTTACTTAGAGTTCTGCCGATATTTTGCTCCTCTACTTGCCAGATGTTGGTACAGTTTCGTCATAAGAGTCCACCTCTGCATTTTCCTCTTTGGCTGTCTTTATTGATACATCTTCCACCCAACATTCTACACCAAGACTTTTTCCAGCTCATTTGGGTTTAACTTCTACAGTTGTCTGGGGGTGTGCCTCACAAGGAGTTTGTACTCACTTTACAAAATGTGTTCACCACATCTTGTTTTGACCTTTTTTCCCCTTTGGTTTAGCTTTGTCTCCTGTCATTTAGGTCTGACAACTTTTTCATCTCCTTTTAGTTATCCTCAATATCTGATGGTTTCGACTCTTCAGTGCTATCCAACCTTTTTCTCAAATGGCCTTTTCCATTACTTAATCGTAATATTAAGGTGATACTACATGCCTTGTCTCAACAATCATTCGAGCCTTTAGCCTCATGTACCATGTATCATCTCTCCTTTGATGGGTATTTTGTAATTGCTGACATGCTGATGTCATCAGCTGGAGTTATTGACATGTTTGTAGGACTTTTATCTTTCCATTTACATTTTTCTATACCCTGATATGTCCTTTCTTTCTAATTTCTCTGCCCACCAGGGAAGGGGACATTCCTCTCCACAATTCTTTTGCCAACTATTTCTCACCTCTACAATCAATCATACGCTGGTCATTTGTTTTGTCCTGTCAAGCCCAGAGGTGTTATGTGGCTCAATCTTACTCATTTCATGGTGATAGTCTTTGGGATACTTCAGTTTCCAACAGTTTATCTCCAATTCCTTGGAAGTGGTTTTGCAAATATTCAGGTTGCATATTCTGGATTTTACAGGCAAGGAATCTTCTGAGAGTTACATCTCATCAGCTTCAGCACACTTGTGTCTTTCACTGCCATTTCTTTGATTTTCTGGAGGACATTTTACGCGCCTGTATGTGGACTTCTCCTAATGCTTTTCTCTCAAATTCTTTATCTGATGTGGCAGTTTTTCTTCTGGTGTTTTTCCACAACTCCCCATGGCCATTTTAATAACATCTACTAGATTGTACAGAGGAGGGAATAATTTTATCTTTCTTTTTCAGGGTCCCTTACATCTTACTACCAGATCCCACTCTGTGGCGAATGTTGCCCAGACAGGTATGATTTTATCAATCCAATTCTCCGCTAGCAACCCATTTGGCTATACTTAATTCTGGTTGTAACGGGCTCTATAGAAATTAGGTATTCCATAAGAAGACCATCTAGGTGCATTTCCAGATGGTATTACCATATTATAATGGAGTGCTACTCATGGACTATCAGGAGTAAAGCTAAAGGGGATTCTGCCTGTCTCTGCTAATCATCGGATTGAATAAATTAGGGTCAGTTTGCTTTTAAAAATTTAGGAAACTCGGTTCACCTATTGCACCATTTCCAGATCACTGTTCCTCAGGACTCCCCAGTGCACATTACCCCCCAGATTCTACTAGTAGACCTAGGGAGTTCTTACCACACTCAGTTTCCAGTTGCTGGGATGGTGGACAGAAGCTTTTCCTCCAGAGTGCTTGAGTGTGTTCCTCTACTCTTGGAGAAGAGGGCGAAGCTGGGGACCCTCCTAGTCGGGTCCCTGGATGTATTTCCCAGATGTCGGTAGGAGCAGCGCTGTCCTATGTGGGAGCTTACTGGTAATACCAGTTCAGATTTGATCCTATGCAATTCAGTTCAGGTGTGCTTGGCCCTTCTTATGAACAATGTTGGGTTGTATATTGTTCATGGATAGAAGACCACTATCTCCTCATATTTCCAAATGTGAAGTGGTCCCATTCTAGGTTGTTGGTTGAACATAGTATTCCATGTCCTCTCCCTAATTCTGGGAGCAAATGAAATGCTACTTGCCCACTCTGTTGGAGAGTGAAGATGAATGTTCGTAATTCCAGACCGAATGAGTTCTGTTCCTTTGGTTGAGCAAGGCATATATGATCCCATCATTCCGAGCGTATAGTGGTGCCTTTTGGACTTCTTCAGGTGGAAGGGAAAATTTTTCCACTTCAGTGTTGCTTACTTTCTCTTCGTAATTCTGGTGGTTTGGAACACATCACTCTATAACCACAGGTTGGGATCCAATCAAATGTATATCTTTATATCACATTGTGGTCCAATTGCCTCAGCCACCAATGTGGGATATAGGGTCCATGATCCCTTAATTCCAACCCTGAGTTGTGGAACCTCGGTCATCTGGTTGGAGCTGGCGTATAATAATTACTCATGTACTATTCCACTCTTGATACCAGTATTAAGGTCTGGGTGAAGAGCATACCTGTTCTGGATGTAGTGTGGTTTCCCCACTTGGGTACCACTCTTATCTTGATACACCCTGTTCTATACAGGTGCTTTCTGTATAGACAATGTCCTCTCCAGCCACTCCACCTTCTCAATGTAGGATTCCAGCTAAAGTGTCAGTGGAGAGTAAGTATGTTTTGGAAGTTAACATTTTCCTAAATTGAAGTATTTCCAATAATACTTACCTCTGCTGACACTCTACTGTTCTTTCTTCTCACTAAGAGCCGGTGTTAGTGACTGGGATGGTGTGAGTCATGAAAAAGTGATTACATTATCTGAGTGAGATGCTTATATGTAATATTCCTCAGGATGGAGGGTGCGTTGACACAGGCAGAGGGATTTGCAAATTAGATATTGCCAAGGGCATTTAAGTGAGGTATAAAAGCCTGGAGCATATGAGATCAATACATAGGTAGGCAAAGCCAACGTCAAGGAATAACTAAAGTGTCAGCGGATGTAAATATTGTTGGAAATACATTTTCAATTTAGGAAAATGTTAATTTTTATCAAATCGTTATTAAGATTAAGAGGAATTATTGCATAAAACACAGTACATTATAGATTCATTTATTTGATATAAAAGCTATTTAGTGCTCCATCTTAAGTAAGGCAGTTGTTCTGTACTGTAAGTTACATCAATTGTACATAGGTGGTCAACTCAGCAGTATGTAACAATGATGAAATTGATACAAGTCAGAGCAAAAATGTTTACTATGAGACTTAAAAACTGAACAAACTTGTCCACTACCAGTTCTTGTCATTACCATTAACTTGTAACGGAAAATGTCTGTGGTTATTGTTCACAAAAGCATTAGGGATATTCCATTTAAAAGACATGATCAAAATACAGATGTTGAACTAGGAAGCTGTTATGGAAACTTAGTTTAGGGGTTAGAAGTTGAGTGCTTAGACCCACAATGTCTCAACTCTTACTTACTTTCTCTGTCTGCAGCCATTTGTGGAAAGGCAGTTGTTAAAATAGACTTGCAGTAGAAATAGACCAACATAGATTTATATATATATATATATATATGACTATCAACCTCCACCCTTTTAATAATTATTACAAATTGATGTTAAATAGAACTCTGAGCCCTTACCTTAATAGTCCTGTAATAATTACTTAAGCTCCCATCCTCCTTCCTTTCTTTTTACAAAACTTGTTCAAGTGTAAACTGGGTCAGCTATCAAGTCGGTCTTTTTATCCTGGTATACTAGACAAGTACATAGAAAAATTGTATGACCTTGAGTAACTAGCATCCTCTTTATGATCACAAAAAGGTAATTTCTTTAATCGGAGTTAATGGTTATGACAAGGACAGGTAATGGACAAATTTCTTTGTTTTTTTAAGTCTCATAGTGAACTTTTTTTTTAATTTGTATATTTATATATATATATATAGTAAACTGGGGTTTTGTAAGTTTATTTACTAATTTTGTTAGGAAAGAGCACCTTTATTACTGACTGTGAGAGTAAATAAATATTTTTCAGTTGTGTAAAATTTAGCCTAGTGAGATTGAAACCTATTGTCAAAATAATAATGATGATAACTTCTGATCAGAGTAAGTTATGTACTTACAGTAAAATTCAAAATGAACCTGGCCATCAGAACAGCTAATTAATTGTGTTCTTATATGTCTAGTTATAAAGATTAGAATGTTGTTTCATCATTTGGGTACTCTTGTTGTTAACAATATTTTTGGTTGTAATTCAAGTAATATCTCATAAGGTTTGGCAAGCTGGGGAGATAGGTATGGACAGAGAATTAAATATTCACCAAAGTTAAATAACTTGGTAGTGGTCAGAGCTTACTGTGTCCAGCTAGTTGTGAGGATAGTTTTATCAAAACTTTCCCATATCTGAAATTCTTGCATAAACAGTAATTACCTTTACATTAAAAAGCATAAAAACTTATAAATATGTTTGCTTTGTTGTTGTTTTTTAGAAAAAAAATATTAATTAAAGCTTTTAAAACTGAATTATTTAATCACAGTGAATTCAAAATGTGTCTTTAGACAAGTGTTTTTGTTCAGAAACCAGCCTGGGGTCTTATAAACACTAAAGATATCTTGAACATAAAATACATTTTGAAAATACTAGGGAAATAAGAAGATCAGACTTAGACTGGAAATTTTGTATCCATGTTATGTTAAAAATGTAGTATCGCTAACTTTTTTGTGTATTTATGTGTTTATCAGTTAATATAAATATTGAACATGGTCAACCTTTTTGTAGTGGAGGCATGATTTTATAGAAGTAAAAAAAAATAGTTATTTCTTTTCACATGATGAAATAGGTGAACATACAATGTATGGATTTTTATTGTTTTGTGTGTGGATTTAGGTGTATTAGTGTACTTGTGCATAATTTTATCATAACATGATTAATTGGAATTTATGAAAACAAATTTCAAGATTAAAATTTGTCAGTATTGTTTAAGAGTCATCTCATGTAGATTCTAAATAGAATCTTGTTTTGTATGCAAATAATCACCACATAACAAAATATTATGATAAAATGAAGTTTTAATTAGAACAGCTAGTTGTTTGACTATTTTATATGTAACATGCACAGCTATTTTATTTAAATGTATTATCTACATTTATAGCATTATGTTCGTAAACTACTGCATCCTCTAGTCAGCTATTTAGGTTGGAAAGATGAAGGCTCTCACATGACACAGTAAGTATAGATGACAAAGAATTGTTAACACTCTATGTTACAGAGTATATTTTGTGCTTAACAGCATGAGTCTAATAGTAATATACAAAAAAAGACTTAATATATTATTTTCTTCATAATTTATTTTGGGAAAGTTCTTTGCCCTGCCATTGGCTCTTTAACAAACAATATTCTATGTTATTAATTTCATATGTGTATAGAAATATTTTAGGTATTATCTGAAGAGGACCCCCCCCCCCCTAATGACTTATAATACTAAAAATTGGGTTTCAATACCCACAAAGGGCAGAGAATGCATGTTTTCAGATGTTTTAAGGATTATTTCCAGTTTAGAGTGTTGTTCCCAAATGAAGAATATATTTTTATTTTATTAGCATAAGATAAAATCTTTGGAATTTAAAACACATCTTACCTATTTTTTCAAAATGTGTTTTTTGGCACGTGTGTAATGTTCAGTTTTGAAAACTAAAAAATTTTATTTAAAAAACAATTATTATATACACAATTCAATAAAATGAGATTGTTTCCAGTCTCCAAATTACTAAAATAATAACTTACTGTACAAGGTTAAAAAGTGGTAATATCCCCGATGTGACTGGAAAACAATCTCATACACTTTACATGTTTCGATGTAATTCTTGCGTCATCCTCAAGAGTGTAATGTTTTGCAAAAAATAACATCCATTTATACAGTTATCAAAACACCAATTTACATATTAAAGAATTTCATGCCATCTGTTGACAACATTTCCATCAGGTCCATCATCCTTATTCAATAATTTAAATTTACTTTTTTTACATTTAATTATCGCAATAGATTTACCTATATTCATACCAATTACATTTCCAGGTTGCGCTAAAGTAACAATTTTTTCCCATTGAATTGTGTGATTAGTTTCACTAACATGTTCTGCTAAAGGTGAAGTAGTAATATTATTATTTTTAACATTTCTTTTATGTTCATTCAGTCTGAATTTTAAATTTCTTCTAGTTTGTCTCATATAAACGTTTTTACATTCACATAATATTTTATATATGCCAAATTTTTCCATTAAATCAATTTTATCTTTAGTTTTATTAAGAATTTCACTGACTTTGTTTATCAGTTTGTATATCGGAAAAATATTTTTGTTTTTTAATTTTTTTATTATTTGACAAGATAAACCAGGTATATATGATAGCACTAAACATTCTTTCGTACTTTTTCAGCAAATGGTTTTAACTTAATATTTTTATCCCTGTTTTTTAGTTTTATGATAGCTCTGTCAACAACATCTGTATTAAAACCTCTTTCCAGTGCTATGTGCTTAATAAACAATAATTCATTATTGATATCATTCTGTTTATGACATAATTTTAATATCCTGTCCACATAAGAGTGTAAAACACAGGTTTTTTTTAGATGTAGTGTGACAAGATTGTTGATGTGGCGGAATGATTACAGAGACAGGTTTACGATAAATGGCAGTTTCCAATTTATCCTTATTTTTAATTACTAAAACATCCAAAAAGAGATAAACAACCATTTATCTGAATTTTATAATTAAATCTTATAGAATTATCAATGTTATTAAGGTAATTAGCCAAATTAGCTAGTTCATCTTTACCATACCGCCAAATCAAAAATGTTTCGTCCACATACCTTAACCAAACTTCAGGTTTTTATCTGCTTTTTCTAGTGCTTCACTTTCAAAACTGTCCATAAATAAATCACACAACAACGGAGATAAAAGAGAACCCATAGCTAAACCCTCGTTCTGTTTATAAACTTTGCTATTAATTTGGAAAAACGAGTTTTCAACACATATTTCAGACTTGTCACTACATAAGTTTCACAAGATATTGAAAAGTTTCCTTTTTGATTTCATCTCAGTCATTGGTTCAGATGTTGGTAGAATGAAGCCACCAATCATAATCAACTCAAAGATGTTCAATAAAATTGAGTTTGAGTGTAGACTATTAAAAGAAAGTTATTGAAATCATTATTAAGCTCTTTGAATCTATATCTGACTGTGAATTATCAAATTATCATCTTGGATTATTCATTCTGCATGAGTGGAAATGCGTCATTTTGGGGTGGACATGATTTGTACCAGATTTTAGGTCAGCATCAGTATTATCATATAATGTAGGCAAATTCATAAGGCTGCAAAATAAAATTATCTTTAGCACTGAATTCATTAGCCACAGTTGCATTTATCACCTTTCATATTATATTTCCACTAGTAGAGCTTGTATGCTGAAGTTAGCCAATGGAAGAGCGGGAGCCGAGTTTTTATTTCGCTCCTAAAACAGTAGAAGTTTCTCTTTTGTTTCATGGAACTGTACCGAATAGAAATATTTCAAAAATGTCTGTGAAATTTTGAACATATTTTGTAAATTAAGCCACTGTGTTACATGGGCAAAACTCAAACTTGATAGATATCAAAATTTTCTTTTTTTTTCTTTCCAGGAAGCTGAGGTAGCTCACACACAATAATAGTAATCTTACAAAATTATTTGTGTTTTTAAAAAGTGCAATATATCTATAAAGGTGACAAATCACTCTGTCCATACAGACATGTCACGAGATTTTACTGAGTTACATTCAAAATTTAATTACGCTACTTTCTTATAATGGTATATGAATAAATTTGGCATCAAACCTAGCTAATAATCCAACTTTTAACTTTTTGATTGTATAAGGGGATATTAAAAACAAATCCTCAATTTCCTTTAGTATTTTAATGTGCTCTATCTTGTCATTGGGTTTGACTTACACTCATTACAAATGAATTTGTTTATTACCAGGATAATTTGTTATAGACTCACAAGCCACCAAATTGAGGAAATTTACATAAAGAACAAAGAAAGAACTCAGAGGCGAGGTAACATGAAACATATATTTAATTGAACAAATTTTTACAATTTACATTCTCATTACTCTCTCTCTCTAACATTTGGATATCTTATAAACAATTCCTCTACTATACTTATTAACATCTCCACGATACTCAGTAAGTAGCTTAACTTTTACTTGACACTCTGTCATGATATACTGTATACTAGTTACATTACTATATAAAGCACATTTAAACTTGTGTGAAGTTTGATGGTGAAAGTATTCTACTGACACTAAGGCTATCATCTCAGATGGACTCACTGAAGAGTGGAAGGGCTATTTTCTTCTTTGTGCTCTCAAGCTGTCTGACTGACTCTGTCGACTTCTGGACTGTCTCTCCTTCGCCTTTCTCCATGGCTTCTTATACTTAATTAAATGGATGCTGTCATCATTTTAGATTAACCAAAAACCAAACCACAACACGTGTTTCTTGGACTTTGATTGGTTGTTGACATTGTTCTAAAATGAACCAAATTCATAACTACTGTTCATGGGTTCCAATTGGCACATACCAATAAGGCACATTGGGACATATTGTCAACTCATATATTTTCTTTTTAAATTTTTTTGGCACATACGTCTGACATGCTTAGAATCCGGGCCGCTTGGTCTCTACCCTCTATATGTTTCCTTCTATATACCTTTGTTATGTAGGGCTCAAGTTTAGTTTTTCTTTCATTATCATCTTAACTTTGAACTTCTCCCTGAACATGGTGTAAGATATCCATCAATATCTTTGTAGTACACCCTAAACTCCATAAAATTCTGTCAAATTAATGGCTTCTGCTTCCTGCTGCTAAAATGAATTACTGTTTGTTTTTTCTAATTTTTTTGTATAACGATACAGGCTTCGAATGTATTTTCTAATTAAGCACATGTTCTATAACCCTGAGTTTCTTCATGACCTTATTCAGTGACCCAATTCACGTACGTGTATCAGTGTCCAAATGCTTTTTATTACTTTGTTTGGTTGACCAATGCATACTGTAGTTTTCTATGGCATTTCATTCTCCGTAATTATTACCAACTGAATTTTATACTAAACATTTGCTAATACCTTTTTATTTTTATTTGCTTTTTATTACTTTGTTTGGTTGACCAATACATAATGTAGTTTTCTATGGCATTTCATTCTCTATAATTATTACCAAGTGAATTTTATACTAAACATTTGCTAATAAGCAATTGTTTTATTCCTCCCCCATATTTCCATCTCCTGCTTTGTTGTTTAATAAGGTTTACACTATCTCTTATTACTTTACTTCCATTTATTATGGATTATTCATATACAACCCAGTTACTATAACTAACCTTTAATGCTCACAACACATGATCATAACTATTGTAGGTTTAGCATAATTATTCAGATATTGTCTCAATACAACCTTTCATGATAAAAATTCCTACTCAAATGTTCCACGTTATACATTCTATTAACTATATGAACACCTACCAATCATTAGTATTATGGCATATCCAGAAGTATATGAAGATATATCACACCACATTATTTTGTTTTGCTTGTATTTATATATGTATATATATAATTTTAAACTAAAATATATACTCATCAAAATGTACATTATATTTAAAAGGCAACACATATTTCATATTAAAAATGTATATACCCATGGATGAGTATATGGGATACATATTTAGTTATAAAACCTATGCATATTACATCAATAGACACGGTTTTAACACTTTCAGTATCTAAAGTTCTCCTGGACACAAGTTGTTCATTGGTATTGTTCGTAGCCACTCATAAAATGTACATACCTTCCAGGTACAACAGTGTTTGTGGAGTCATACATAGTAGATATTAGTCACTGGATTAATATCCAGATACCAATATGCTCCTAAGTTGTCACCATTCCTCATTTTTATCAGACTTCTTGATCACATTTATGCATTTCCTTGACAATCCCATTCATGTCACCTGACTTGCTTTACCATCAGCACCCATAGTCAATGTCTTTCATCTATCATTTCTCTTAGCCACTGTAGTCCAATTTTTTCATTAATTAATTTAACCCTAATAATTTTGACATATTCTCATTACATTATAATTTACTAACCTCATCAATTCTCATTTACACTCGCAAAATTTTTGTTTCTC